GCAATACAAGTTTTTCAGTTAGAGTGTTTTCAGCTTGTTTATTTTTATCTAAAATTATGGCATGCAGTTGCTTCAAACAATGGTATAAACATTATTCAATATAAATTGTGATTATATGATGTGTAATAATCGCAATTAAAATTTCAAGGGAATAATCGACATTTATGATTTTTGTCATAATCGTGCAGCCCTACTTGCAGTGACTGGCAACTTTAAAAAAAATAAAAATAAAATAAAAATAACAACACTGGCGTGGAAAGAGTTAATTAATGTAAAGACTATATTCCTCATTTTTAAATCTTTGAATTAATCTTCCTCATTGAAAAACCTTTCAAATAGATTCAAGAGTACTGTCTATATCCTTCTCTTTTGCTGCCATTCCTACACACACACACACACACACACGTCCTTAATGTTATACTCCCGTTTACCCCTAGTCTATTTATCCGACATCTAAGGGACGTAAACAGAAGCATTGACTAATGTTAAGATTTGAGTACTTATTGTACAATTGAGTGCTATTGTAATATTTTTCCCTGTTTCTTTTCTTTTCTCCACAGATGCCAGTGTTTGCTCTAAATGCCCAAACAACTCCTGGTCTAACGGCAATCACACGTCCTGCTTTCTGAAGGAGATCGAGTTTCTGTCCTGGACCGAACCGTTTGGGATCGCTTTGGCCTTACTTGCGGTTCTTGGGGTTCTGTTAACAGCTTTCGTGTTGGGTGTTTTTGTGCAATTCCGTGATACTCCGATTGTGAAGGCGTCGAACCGAGAGCTGTCGTTTCTTCTGCTTTTCTCACTCATCTGTTGTTTCTCCAGCTCTCTTATATTCATAGGCGAGCCACAGGACTGGACGTGCCGTGTACGGCAACCAGCTTTTGGAATCAGCTTTGTGTTGTGCATCTCTTGTATTCTAGTTAAAACCAATCGTGTCCTACTGGTGTTCGAAGCCAAAATCCCCACCAGCCTCCACCGTAAATGGTGGGGATTGAACCTGCAGTTCTTACTGGTGTTCCTGTTCACGTTTGTGCAGGTGATGATCTGCGTGGTTTGGTTGTACAATGCTCCACCAGGGAGTTACAAGAACTATGACATCGATGAAATTATCTTTATCACCTGCAACGAGGGCTCCATGATGGCGTTGGGATTCCTCATCGGTTATACATGCCTGCTGGCAGCCGTTTGTTTCTTCTTTGCATTCAAGTCTCGGAAACTTCCCGAAAACTTCACGGAGGCCAAGTTCATCACATTTAGCATGCTCATTTTTTTCATTGTTTGGATCTCCTTCATCCCCGCATACTTCAGCACGTATGGCAAATTTGTCTCGGCGGTCGAGGTCATTGCCATTCTGGCTTCCAGCTTCAGTCTGCTAGCCTGTATCTTTTTCAACAAGGTCTACATCATCCTCCTGAAACCATCCAGGAACACGATTGAGGAGGTTCGTTGTAGCACAGCAGCTCATGCTTTCAAAGCAGCAGCGAAAGCAACACTGCGACACAGTTCTGCCTCCAGAAAGAGGTCAAGCAGTGTGGGTGGGTCCTCTGCCTCCTCGCCCTCTTCGTCAATCAGCCTGAAGACCAACGGCAATGAAATTGAGTTCCCCTCTACGCGGAGACATAGTCAGAAACCAAGGGTGAGCTTTGGAAGCGGAACAGTCAGTCTCTCCATAAGCTTTGAGGAAGCTAGAAAGAACTCGGTCAAATGAGTGCACACAAACTGGTTTCCACTGTGATTTTGGGTTAAGGATATGGTCGTTTTTGTACTCAGTGGTGGTATCACAATAGCTGTATCCGTCATTTTCTCCAAAGAAACCTCCCAGTCTTCAGGCCCGGACTGATCTCTGTCAACAAAACTTAGACCCACCATAACTCACCGACACAAAAGAGTCATTTGCATACAATCCGATTGTGTACCACAGCATTCTTTCATAGACACTTTTTATGTCACTCTGTTTTCGGCATCTGCTGAATGCCTTATATGTAACACAGAAGTGGATAAATAAAACAAAAACACCCGATTTATGTCTACTGTGATTTCTAGTGCCTTGGTAATAGTTCTAATAGTTCAGAGAAGAGCTTGCAAGCAAAAAGGGAAAGTGACGGAGCCTATAACACACCTTGTATCTGACGTAACACGACCTTTTTCTTGCTCAACAATCTTGCATGCTTACAAGCTCTACACATTGCTGCATTATAGCTGTCAGAATAGCACAGCCCTGTTGTAATAGCTGGACCTTCTTCTCACTGGAAGTAACGTAAGTCGTGCAAAGACGGAATGACGTTAAACGGACAGTTCTCACTAAGTCTGATGCAACACCTAAACTATAAATAATCGTTACAAGCGTACCATTGTGAATTTGGGTAGAAACGGTTTTCAACACTGACTTTTTACGTACGTACTTACTTTGTCAATATTTTTGTTGTTTTTTAAAAAGTAAATATCTGCCTTTTTCAAGGTGCATTTAGATCCCAGAGGAGAATAAACATAAATATAATTAATAATTACTAACAGGTGTAAACCATGACATCATAATGGATGTTTCTGATTGGACGACAATTCACAATTGTAACCACAGAGAGATAATAGCTTCCATTTTCATATCAAAACAAAACCATTTATATAATATATGATATGACGCAATAGTTCATTTGTTACTAAATTGTTACATATAGAGAGATGATTGCGTTTTACTGGACCATCTTGCCTGTGCCACAATTTTGGTGTTGCTATCCAAATACTAGTCAACAGAAAGTAAATTCTTCTTTTGGCTGAAGAGGCAAAGGAAGCAGGAAACAAAGTGGAGGTAAAATTAGCAAATAACTTTGTTGTTACTCAGTCTGATTTTATCTGATCAGCACAAGTTCAACAAGCATTATACTGAAGTGCAAGGAATGGAAAATTACTACTTCGCAACAGAGAAAGTGTACAAAAAACAGATGTATGTTTTATATACATCTCACAAACCATTCAATGCATGTGTCGATATGAGTTTTAGTGAAAATGAAGGTAAAGCTCTGTAAACACTTTTTTTTAGAAGTGTGTCCCATCGTGTAGGCTAATGGAAAGTTGTGCACACACTTGTGGTCTTCATGCCCACTTCAACACTTGGGCCAAATACATGAAAGATGTAAGTAGTAGACAAGCGGGCAAGTGCAAAGACAGTGTGGGTCTATTGGTGAGAGATGTTTCACTGTTAATAAAGGTGGAAACTATGAAATAGGAGCCCTATTGCTTGAGAACATTGTCTCTGCCCCTCCTGCAGTTTCACAGAACAGCCTTTTTGATCATTTAAATTGGAAAAAAAAAAAAGGTCCATGCAGTAACAGAAATATCTTTTAAATTACTCCACAAATTTTCTGACGAAAACATTTGGATCAGAGAATGCTCCTTTTGTCAGAAAGACACTGAGACCCTTCTTCGTTTGTTTCGGTGATGCAGTTATACTTCTCAGCTCTGGAAAGATCTTAGTTTATCTCGAGTAGCCTACTAGATTTTTCAATGAATCCCAAATCTGTCATTTTTGGATTTTTTGAAGCGGATCCCATGTAATGCCTGTTTTGCAAGAAACCTAATTATCTTCTTATGCAGACTCTATATTCAAAAATGTAAATTTTCGAATTGTAAACCTATTTTTGAAGAATCTTTACAAGAAAGCGCTTAGAACCTGTACAATTTGCATGGCCTACAAATTTTCTTCTGCATTTAATGTTTAATTTTTATCATTCTGTATACTGCCCTCTTCTATTATTAGGCTATGTTTCTGTTTTGAGCTATGGTAGCCTATTGGTTGTTCATGTTTTCCTTTTTTCTCGCTATTGATGTTATTTGTAATGATTGTGTTGTAATTTTGTTGCTCTGAGTGTTCAAATAAAGCATGCAGCAGACAGTCAGGTGTAGTTGCTGCATCCGCCGGCAGGTGCTGAGAGATGACTGAGTGTCTGCGGTCTGTATTTGCGGAAATGCTGGGGTTCAGTGCGCTGGTGGATTGAGCTGAGAGTGCGTCTGCTTTCACAGCCGTAAATCGATTTAACCTCTGTTTACTTTCTACTTTATTCTTCCCCAGTATGCCTGTGTTGTCCTCGAGAAATACCAGCTAAGAAGTGCGCACCTCCGCACAGCAAGCCAGCGCGAGGGCGGTGAGTTCAATCGCTAGTTTTTGCTGTTTTGTATCATTCACGCTGTCAAACTGTAACAAGCTGAAACATTGCTAATTCAAATAAAATACAGTGTATTCTTCGCTCTAAACGTGCTTAAAGCTGTGCTTAAGAAATCAGAAATAGGCATTGTTAGGCGCAAACCACTCTTCCGAAATCTCTGTTCAGTTGAAACGATTATAGATGTTTCATGACGAAATAATTCATATTTTAAACATGATCTCAAGACGTCGCGAGGAAGCACTTGACTTAATGTTAATTATAAGGCATGATGAACCGATATCAAATGACGTTTTTCATTAATCTCCTGAGAAGCAGAAAAAAAGGTTTTGTGAATTTTTTAAAATGTCATTGCATTGGTCGGAGCATAAGAAACAAGTGGAGAAAAACATTTAGAAAATAGATATTTTATTCTATCCTTTTTTTTTTTTTTTTTAAAGAGTTATTCAAAAAGAAATAAATAAATAGACGTGAAAAGGCATGTATAGGCAATGATTTTGTTTTTTTCATTCACCAATCAGTTTTTAGCTTTCAGGCTTTTTAATCCAAACTTTGTACAAAGATATAACAGAATGACCTGATATACTATTTTATTTCATGGGTTATGTGTGTAAAATGTCCTTAAATTGATATTCCCATTTTATTCAATGTATCTATACACTGCATCTAATTTGTGTGCTCTTGTGGGAAAACCATAATGAAAAAAGAAGTGCAATAATGGGAGTAATAACGTGGCAACATTTTCATAAGAATATCTC